GGTTAATGGGGGTAAAGGGGACATCTGTAATACTTTCAACAATAAAGATTTTTTTCTAAAAAGAAAAATAACTTTATATTTTGAAAACAACTACACATGAATTATTCATCGCAAATTCCTCCTGCTCAGCCTTCCATGAAAACATATGTGATGGAGAGTAAGGAAGTGTCTGTAGGCAAATGCTTCACAGCCTGGAGGGTTGGGAGGCGTGGTGGGGGGAGAGGCCCCCTCTCCGCAGGCGGCCTGGCCCTGGCCCAGGCGCACAGTCCCCTCTCTGCGCAGAGCGCAGCGGTGGACCAGTCCCAGGACGTCTCCATCTCCAGAAGAGACCCTGAGCACCGCCCCAGCACCAGGGCCCCTTCCCAATGCCCCCCTTGCCTGCTCGCATCTCTAAGATGAACACAGCAGCAACCCACTAGCTCGATCACAACCCTTGGAGGCAATTTGCAATACAACATAAGGCTAAACGGCACCATTTATAAACAGATTTCAAAACGTTTAAGCATTCAAGTGGTGTCCTTTGGTCTTTCCTAGGAGGCATTTCCCTGAGAAAGTTCCTCAAAGCATAACAACCTGTGGCCTGGCACATTCTGATTCGCCAACTAGTCCCTGCATCCCCGGGATGTCATTTCAACGGTGGACCGATTCTTCCTCGCGAGACCTTGGCATTCCCTGGGGTCAAGGCTGGGCTCTTGGTGAACAGGCGCTGTACTGCACCTCACTGGTTCTGAGTTCATGTTCCTTCTCACCGAGAAAGTGACTCAGCTCCGCCCAGCTACCGCAGGGCCTCCGTGAGAGCACCCCCTGGTCCCCAGGTGTGAGCAGCACAGGTCCGCGAGGCCTCTGCACCCCTCCTTTCTAAGGGCTACCATATAGACCCTCACTTCTCACAGTCTATTGAGAGTGAACAGTGAGCCACTCCAGATAAAATGCAGGGAGCGTGTGGGTCTCCCCCCCACCGTCCTTTATCCTCACTTGTTACAGCTACTTACCGTATAAACCCCACAAGACAGTGTTGTTTACCCTAAACATCCTGTTTAAATTAAGAAAAATAGGCCTTCTGTTTAGTCGGTTATTCACCATTTCCAATGTTCTTTATTCCTTCATGTCATCTGAGCCGCCACCTAGTTTCAAATTCCTTCAACCTGGAAACTTCCTTGAACGCTCTATAGTGACGATCTGCTTGTAATAAGTTATCCTTGTGTGTTCGTATCTGAAAACACCTTTAGTTCCCCTTCTTCCTAAAGGAGACTTTTGCTGGATGTAAATTCTGGGTGGAGACACTTTTTGTTTCCTTTCCAGCAAGTTAATCAAAGGTATTGTCCCACTGTTTCTGGCTTCCACTGTTCTGATGAGCAGTGAATGGGGATTCAAAACCTTGTTCCCCCATTTGTAATATGTCATTTTCATATGCTGCTTTTAACATTTCTTTCTTGACCTTGGCTTTCAGCAGTTTGTCTGCGATTTTGCTTGTATTTATCTTACTTGGGTTTTCTGAGCTTCCTGAGTATACATTTAGTCCTTTTACCCCAAATTAGGAAATTTCAGCCATGATTTCCTCACACGTCTTCCTTTCCTTCTACGACTCCAGTAATTAAATAAATGCAAAATGGACTAAGTACTCAAGTACAAGACTAAGACTGTCACCGTGTATCTTTTAAATTGCCAGCGATATGCTGCCCAGCAGAGATTTACTTTAAATACTGAGCACCCAGAAAGTGTGAAATAAAAGGATAGAAAAATATATTCTCTGCTAGCACGGATCAAAAGAGAGCTGAAGTAACTGTGTTATTATCAGGCAAAAGGCGGCTGGCAGGCAAGCAGCATTGCTCTGAATCCGGAGAGTCATGTCATAACTGTAAAGGAGACAATTCGCAGGGAGTTGCAGCGAGCTATGTGTACCCAATAATTTAGCTGCAAAGCGAACAAAGCAATAATCAACAGAATAAGAAAGGATCTCACCAGACAAATCCACAGTCCACTTCCATACGCTGCTCTAAACAGCTAGTGGAATGTGCAGGCAGAAATCTGAATAGACTAGAGAAGTTCTGGAGAACGTGATTAAGGAAATAGGCCTAATTGACATACTCAGAAAACTGAAGGTCCGTGAGGGAGTGAGCACACCTTTTCGAGTGCTTATGGAGCATTTGCCAAAATCATCTGTGTGTTGGGTCATAATCCAAGGCTCACTATCTCAGAGGACAGCCTGAAGTCACTTAGACTTTAGAATCTGTTCTCTCATCACAATGGAATCAACTTTAAAATTGATAATAGAAGGTAAATTAGAAAATCCCAACTGTTTGGACATTAGACAATGCACTTAAAATTAAGCTTTGGAAAAAAGAATAAACCACAAAGGAAATTATAGATATTCTGAACTGAATGATAATGAGGATATGATATACCGAAACTTGCATGATATGGCTAAGCCTGTACCTCGAGGGCAATGTATAGCCATCAATTCATACATTAGAGAAATAAAGGCTGAACAGTAATGATCTAACATTTCATCTCAAGAAATTAGAAAAAGAAAAGCAAATTAAATCGCAATGAAGTAGAATGAAGACAATAATCAAGATAATAGAAATAAAAAAATAAAACAAATATATGAGAGAAAAATACCAATAACAATAAAGTGGTTACTAATAAAACTGACAGACTTCAAATGCTTCTGGATAGGATGGAGTAATTGATAGCAAGCCAACATTCAAAAAAAAAAGACCACAACAAAACACCTGAAAAAGCCCAACCCATTACAAAAACTAAAAAGGTACCAGAGAGCTGGGGAAGCTGTGCTGTCACAGGGACTGAAGTTCCCAGGTGAGAAGGACCCTGCAGAGGCCCACTGAGGCCATGCAACTGCACTTTCCCTGGGAACAGCTGAGGATTCTGGGAGTGGACTTGAGCCTGAGAAACAGAGCTGGGCCGGCCGGAGGGCCCCTCTAGCAGAGCGTGCGCTAGGTGTGTGGTGCTAGGATCTCGAACTTGGAGATGGAGGGGGCAGGCTCAAACCAGGACTGGTCCCCTCCCAGACGGGGCTGACCTCTGGAACCACTCAGGGCTGAAGTCTGACACCAAAGTTGACAAGTTTTAAGAAGCAGCCGGCAAGGCCCCACGCTGTGGTACTCAGGCCCACCCGGGAGAGAGGCCTGGCAACCCCAAGGCAGAGACGGAAGCCTAGAGTTGTGGTCAGTGGACACCAAGTCTGGCGACTGCTCCTGCGGTTGTGTGGGGCTTGGACCAACACATCTGAAGATGTGAGGACCTCGAACGCACAGTTGGACTCCCCCTTAAACCACCTGCAAGATTAGGAACATGTCCGTAACAGGAAGCTAACGGGCGAGGACTGCTCATCCCCTCCCCCAACCTGGCCTCCGGAACAGGCACTCCATCCGCTTCCCATGACCGGGCTGGAAACCCCATGAGGAAGCGACGGTAGTGGGGTGGGAAGGGCATGAGGATCAGCTGGGGCGCAGGAGGAACACCGGCTCCTGAGCTGGCCGGGCCCTGCCTTGGAGGGATGAGAAGCGAGGAGCCAGAGCCTAAGAATCTGGGGCGCTGGCCGGGCTGTGACAGACGCTGCTGCCCTAAGGCACGCCCGCCCGGGGCTCTGTGTTTGCTGACAGCTCTGCCGCCCCACGTCCGTCTCCAGAGGCCTCGGCTGGGACCCGGGGACCGGCCTGAGAAGGGGGTCTCCACCGCGCTCAGGGTACTTATGAGGGTGACGAATAACAACGTCGCACAGGAACAGCCGACTACAGGGAACGGGAGTGGGAAAGCGTCCTCCGCTCCTGGCGGATGGAGTAGCTCAATTAGGCTAATTACTCAATTAGACGAATCTTGACGTCTGTGTCCTTGGGTGTTTTGTCATTTTATGTTCCCCACGGGTCACCGTCACCAAGCAATCAAGCCTCTTCCATCCGCGTTCCCCATGTGGCGCGGGCCCCTGCCAAGTGCGCAACAGGCACCCTCCCGTGTTTCCTGACGGAGTTTGACAGACTGTTCGCCTGCCCAACCTGTACCTCTTTTTCTCCCGTGGAGAGAACCGTGCTTCTCCTGGAGGTGGTCATGTTCCCGGCCCAGAATATTTCTCTCTCTCTCTCTCTCTCTCTCTCTCTCTTTCTTAGTCACACACACACTCACTCACACACAGGCCTGGTCCATAAGAAAAGCTGCTGGGAGAAGCTTCTAAGATGCTGTTTTAAGACAGAAAGACTTGTCTAGCTCAAGCCTTTTGCCCCTCGCTCTCGCCTTCTTTAGGCCTGAAACCTGTGTGGCGGCTGGTGCTCCAGCTGCATCTTGCAGGCACGGGGCTGACCTGAAGGGGAGAAGGCTGGAAGCAGCCTGGGCTCTGGACACTGCAGAGCTCTGCACGGACCCTGCTCAGGCAGCTTCCCGATCCTCATCACAGAGAGAGAAATCGCAGCCTCCGATTTCACACGCTGTTGGGGGAGTTTGCTGCTCATTCCGCATGTGATGGAGGGAGAGAGAAAGGAAACATATGCAGGGAAGAAATAGGAAGGTTCTAGATCGCCCTAGAGTTCCAAAGCAGTTTCCTGCACCACCACCAGCTCTCGACTCATCGTTTAAATAAAATGCCATTAAAAACGCGCAGCAGTCACAGCCAGGTGGCACAGGCGCCAGAGCAGTGAACTGGGAAGGCCCCCTGGGGGGGAGGACACGGGGGACAGGGTGTGCGAGAAACGATGTAATGTATGGGTGACACGCTCAGACCGGGTCTAGCAGGAGCCCAGAAAGCACCGCACCTTCTCCTGCCCCCGCAGAAGTCACACATTGAACCGTGAGAAGCACACGAGCTCACGAAACCCCAACGGCTGCCTCGGTAAGGACGGTCCCCTCATGCGAGGTCACTGGTGGCCTCTCAAGTTAAACAGAGAAAAGGAGACAGGTCACGCGTCCCCGCTGGACTGGCACAGTGGGCGAGCCCCCGACCACGCGGAGCCTGTGACTGTCCTCGGCGAGGACGGCGGCTCGTGGGGGTGGGCGCTGACGCCTGCCTGGCCCAAGTCGTCCTGCAGCTCTCCCTCCTCTGCCGCCCGAACCTCAGTGTTTCCTGCATCCACCCTCCCACCACACCCATGTGCTCACATACCCTCAGGCCTCCGTGTCCTCAGTTCTGTCTGTGAGCGGAGGTGTGGGCTGTCTCAGCAGCCGGTCCCCACCTCTGTGCCACCAGCTCCTCCTCCTCCACCCGCCCGGGGGCTGCTGTCGGAGCTGGCACAGAAGACATGCAAAGAGCCTGTGACAGCGTCTACCGGGGCGGCCACCCCACACGTGGTAGCACTAATATAACGATCCCTTCTTGGAAATGTCTTCCGTTGCCTCCTCTGAATTTGTCCACACGGACACGGCTACACGTGAGTGAAATGCCTTCCTTGACAAGAGCTGACGCTGACTGGCGAGAGGCATCGGAACAGGAGTGTGAAGCAATCCTCGGAGCTGGTTTCTGAGAAGTCTATGCAGACCCTCCCAGCCGGGCCCTCTGGCCGGCTCGCCAGTGCCCACAGCACATGCCTGAGCTCCTCTCCTGCCCGCCTCTCCCCTCTCTGACGGGACAAGCCCCAGCGTCGGACACTCCCCCTGCAGCGAGGGGCCTGCGAGGCCTGGTCCCACCCCATCTGCCCGCGAGGGCAGCGTGGGCGCCGATCAGACGCGTTCTCTGCAGAAAGTGGCCGCCGACACTCCTGGCCGAGAGGAGCCTCTTCCGCCACGGAGAGGCCTAGGCGTGCCTGCAGCGAGGGGCCGGCGAGGCCTGGTCCCACCCCATCTGCCCGCGAGGGCAGCGTGGGCGCTGATCAGACCGTTCTCTGCAGAGAGTGGCCGCCGACACTTCTGGCTGAGAGGAGCCCCTTCCGCCGAGGAGAGGCCTAGGCGTGACCTGCTTTGTCCAGCCGAGAACAGAAAACCCAGCGCCGCGCCTTAGCAGCGCGTTCGTGACAGAGCAGCCGGCCCGCCTCAGGCAGAGACACAAACACGGGAGGCCCGTCCTACCTTCCTGAAGTTGCACCAGTTCACTCTGCCATCGAGATCCTTGCTGAAGTTGAGGAATTGTTTCTTGAACGCGGGGTCCTGCTGCTGGACCCAGTGCCGGAGCTTTTCCACCGCTTCGTCCTTGGTCACCGTCTTGGTCCAGGTGCTTTTGTCCTCCGTGGGCTTGGCTCTGAAATCACAGCAGGCACAGGTCCGGCGGGTGCTCCTTACAGACCCCCCCTTTCCATCCCAGACCCCCGCCCTCCCCCCGGGCCCGAGTGGTGGCAGGTGGGGGCAGGAGCCTCGGGAAGAGAAGGCTGCGCCTGTGTGTGAGATTTCCTCCTGCGCTCTGAGCTGGCTGGCCACGCTGGGTCAGGCAGGCGTGGGGGAATGCGACCCAGGAAATGAAGCTTCAAACAGGCTGCTGTGTGGCAACCAGGTCCCAGGGGTCATCACCCTCCGTGGGAAGGAAGGGCGCCACAGCCGCTCCCAGGTCCTTCCCAGGGGGGCGTGCAGAGTGAGGGGCGTGTGCGCAGAGGACAACGGCCTCCTCAGCTCCAGCAGCCTCTCGGCCCCGGGGGCGAGGCGTGGGGCCGGGACACAACCAGAAGTGAACCTGCCGCCTCTCCTGCGCCCCCGGCTCTGAGGAGCGCTCTGCTCCGCACACCCCGCATTGTAGGAAATGCTCAGCTGCCAAGACTTCCCTCCTGGTTTAGGGGGCAGAGCACTCACCTCTGAGCATTTAACCTGCTCTCAAAGGGCCACCTTTCTGCCGTTTATAACGCAGCTACCACCTGAACGGCTCGCACTTAGGGGCTCTTAAAGGGGACGGTGAAGTCTGCCGAATACTTGTACGTCTTACCTTTCTCTATGGATTTATTGTAAGCTATGAACAAGCAAGTTAGAATAATATCTCTTCACTAGACTAAACCTGTATTTTCCAAAATGAAGAAAGGCGAGGATGTTTTTAATAGGTTTCCTAAGTATGTTTCGTCATTACAACTCCATTGGCCACCATGTCGGGAGCCCTGCATCGCTGTTAGGGAGCGCGCCCTGGCGGAGGCGTTTCTGCAGGGAAGAGTGCGGGAGGGTCCGAGGGGGCAGAGAGCGGGTGAGGGCAGGTCTGTGATGGCCGAGCGGCAGCCGGGCCTCTGGGCCCGAAAGCCCTGGGTTCCGGGGCTGGGGACGGCCACGGACTTTGTGAAACTTGAGGCGAGTCCCCAGACCCCTCAGTGCCTCGTTTCTAGAATGAGTAGGAGAGTTCAGTAATCTCTAAGCTCTCTGCCGGCTCTACAACCCGCTGCCTCCAGTGCTGCGGTGACAGTCTGCCATCTTTCTTATCTAAATACTACAATATGAACACACTCATGTTTACACAAAGGTTTACTAACTGCCTGCCCCACGGCGCCGAGGTTCTCGCTGCGCCTGCACCTGCCTCTCATTACCTCTCGGCGCTCTCCGGCGGCGGCCCCTTCTGCCCGTGCTCGCGGGGCGGCCGGTCCTTCATGGCATTAGCTGGACGGGCGGCGGGCAGGCCCTGGACGCCCATGCTGGCCAGGAGGTTCTTGTACAGGACCTTTCCCGAGGCTGAATCCTTAAACTTGCTGCAGAGTCTGGATTGTAAAGGTAAGCACAACACGCCCGTTAGAACGGCGGAAACCAAAAGACGGGCCCTCCGTGCGTGGGCGGCGAGGGTGTGGGCACCTGCACCCCGCCCGCCTGGTGTG